GATCCTGGTTCTAGCACGCGAACCACCCTCTCGGCGTACGAAGGAGCTATGCGGTCGAGACCAACAAGCCCTGGGTCGAAACGGCATTATTAGCGTCATGGTGTTGAGGTGAGGTATGCAAGCGCTTTTTGCAAAAAATAGAAAACCTCGACCACAGTAGTTGGATGCAATGGGCCGACGACAAGGTCAAAAGGAACCGGCGTCCCTCCTGTTGGAGTGTTTGATGTCAGTCGAACGTGATGCGTGGAGTTATGGCGCTGCTGTTGCGACAAAATGGTCCCAACAAGAGCAACCTGCAGAGCGTCATCGTAACAGTCTTCGTTACGTTGGACCGGTTCTCGACAGCACCGTACGGGCGCGCCCGAATTTGGTTCCGAGTCGCTCACCACGGTTCGTTGCTCTAACCCCGAAATCCGCCACGGGATCCTATTGCAAGACAGGAAGGGTGAACGCGCGTGGCATACTGCCACCCTGAGAAAAAAAGGAAAAGTCCCTTGGACCTTGCAGCCTTACGGGTCATATCTGCACATGATCATCGCATCCAGTTTGTCCGACAAGGGTGCGTGTGATACCCGGCGGTTCGAGCTGATATCCTGCAGTTTCACCCGTTTTACCCGGCGGTGTCTTGAAACCCGTGGTATATCCTCACTCCACTATTTTCGTCTCTCTACGCCCCCCCCTCGTAGTGTCCCAAAACTTCACACCTGCAAACAGCCCCACCATGCCAGCGACGCTCGAAGGAAACGACCACCCAAGCCGACCGACAATCTGGTGGATTCCAACATCCGCGGCAACGATCAACAGCATCGACAATGGCGTCAGAACCTCTCTGGGGGCCACCAGAAGGGCAGAGACGGGGGTACCGAGCGGCGCCGGCGGTAGTGGTGACGGGGACGGAGGTTTGTCCTCCAAATCTCTCGCCCCAGCAAAGGAGACAGAGAATGGTGGTGCCTGGCGGTGCCTACTTCCGCGTCCCGGGTCGTCGTCACCAGTAAGATACGGTCCGCTGCCGCGCCCTGATCCCAGCATGCGTGGCGGCCACCTTTTGTTCGCGAGGGTTGACGAACAAGGCGATGAACAAAGAGCTACGCCCGGATCACTCAGAGCCTTGAACGACAACGACAGCGTTCATTCAACGGTCGGGAGCGCGATGGCATGGTATGGTAACCTCTCAGGGGGAACAACGACCTTCATTGCTAGACTGCTGTGTACGAGAACATCTACATTTTTAGTGTGTAAAATGTGGCAGCAACATGCCCGCATTGGGGCGTAGTGAGCAAGACGGTACACGAGACAACTGGTCGGGCGCCCTGTTAGTACCTGCGACCCACAGAGTGCAGGTTGAACTAGGTACCCTTGCCGCCCTGCGGCGACGCCGACGCCCGTCGAGTATTTAAGTCTGCTATTTTCGCTGTTGTTTCAACCCCGTAAAATTGACGAAGCTCGTGCGAGCCTCCCGTGCCAGGAGGAAGACCTCAAAGCCCTCGTCCACACGTTCTTTCGGCGTCTGCGGTCGGATCGCCTTCCATCCAACGGCCGGGTGGGTGGTCAAAAGATTAGATGTCGAGATTTACATCGAGCGAAAGAGGCAAGTGTGTTCGTCTCGCCCATGTTTCAAGACTGTCTCGTCTTCGCGGTGCGGTTTCAAAGTTTGTGCCAAACTTGGACCCTTTCAACCGGGCAATGCTGTTACTATTATGATGGGTGTCTTTCTCTTTTTCGATGGAGTTACACTATTTGACCAGTTGACTAGTCAGTGCTGACCGTTGTGTCCCAGCTACGACGCTTTTATCGTTTACACCATTTGACCAGTCAGCGCTGATTGTTGTGTCCCAGCTACGTCGCTTTTATCGCCAAAATGCACCATTTCCATCATCAGACGAGTGGCGAGGGATCCGGCTACGGAGATAACTGTCCTAGATGGGAGACCAAGAGCCCGCCGACATATCTTTTATTCGATATAATTACACCATTTGACCAGTCAGCGCTGACCGTTGCTGACTGGTCAAAATGGTTTAATTTTATCGAATACCTCTGTGCGAACATTTTTATGGGAGTTGTCGGGTTGGGCCTCTCGCGCCGGCCGGAAGTCGAAAAGCACCATGTATTGCGTTGCTTCAGAGTACCTGCCTGGGGCCACGATGTCTCGGGTCTCTCCAAAACATACTTCATATCCCCAGAAATTCAGCTGCGAATACCAGCAACATAGCGAGTGGGAAGTGTCCGCACGACCTGCCCCCGGCGCATGTTTGGTCTCCGCATCCCTAGAGCTCGTGTTGCCCCCTCTAGCGTGGCAGTGTGGCGGTCGTCATCGCTCTGCGCCAATTATTCGTATCATCTGGTTCTCTGTCATGCATGCTTGGGACTAGCAAGTACTCTGCTCGACAAGTAGTTCTGCCTTATGCAAATGCGATTGCAAGGCGGCCGTCACATGCAGCGAGGACAAAGGCCGCGTCGTCCCGGCCGCCCTTCCCGGCCACCACACGCCGAAACAAATGGGAGCATGTGTCATCACGATTCCAACGGGTAAGTTGGGCGGCAGAACATGTCATCGGCGACTCGTGGAGGAACAGATTGCAGGTTTTGTATCTGCTCGCCACCGTTTTCCTCAATTTCCGCAAACGCTCTTCTAACGTAGAATCGAACAGTTGCAAAATTGACCCTACTGGGTGATGCCAACGATGGTTCATTCCTGGGCCAGAGGACAAGATGCCTGCGTCCACGCTACCTGCTGCTGTGGGTACATCTCGCCAACTTGTTCAACTAGCAAACGCGTTGCTGTTGTGTACGTAGAGTGGCGGACGGGAGGAGGGGGCCGGGGTCTGCAGCAGCAGGGGGTCCTACTCCGGTATGTACAATGTACAGCGGTGCTGCACCTCCCCCTTCTTGGGCGTAAGCAATGAGCAGTCTCACCAAGTAGCAGGAGCAGCGTTTGAGTACACGAAGGATGGTCCGCCAAGCAGCAGAGTCGTAGCTGTGACGAGATGCACACCCTGAGAGAACATCCGCCGCCCGCCAATTGTCCGGTCTATCTGCCACCCTTCAGCACGGCAAGTGCGTCGCACTGAAACTATCGAAGGGCACCCTGGTGCACACACGATTCACGCACAGCAGCTCCACGTGCCCACACGCGAATCTCTCGTGGTCGCTCGTCCCGACTCCGGGTGGAAAGCGCGGAACGTTCTTCGAGAGACTGTCGCACTCATCCAATCAATGAAGAAAGGGCGTGCGGGACAGTCTCTCGAGAACGTTCCGCGCTTTCCGTGGGGAGCCAGAAGAGAGAGAATCAGATACGACACGTGGCGATGCTGTGTGGATCTTGTTTGCACGGGGGTGTCCTTCAATAGGCTCAGTGCGACGCACTTGTGGTGCGCAAGGGTGGCAAATAGACCAGACAGATGGCGGACCACGGGTGTTCTCAGGGTGTGCTTCTTGTCACAACTGCGACTCTGCTGTTTGGCGGGCCATCCTCTGTGCACTCACACGCTACTGCTGCTACTGGTCAGACTGCTGACACCCAAGAGCGGGGAATGCGCCGTAGATACAGCACAGTAGGACCGGTGCTGTTGCAGCATAACCCCCGCCTCCCGCGAACTGCTCTACTTTGGCGTTTAGCTCTTGAACAAGTTGGGGGAGCGTGGACGCAGGCATCTTTGCCCCGTGGCCCAAGAAATGACCCTAGCAGGTGACGTTTCCCCGTAGGATCCTCTGATAGCGGGTTGAAGCAATTGAGGAAAGCGATGGCGAGCAGATACGAAATGAACTTCAATCTGCTCCTCCACGAGTCACCGATGACATGTTCTGTCGCCCAGCTTGTCCGTACGTGTTCCCGTTGGTTTCGGCGTGGTGGTCAATGGCGGCCGGGAAGGCGCGGTCTTTGTCCGCGCCGCCGCCGACGGTCGCCTTGGAATCGCATTTGCGCAAGGCAGAGCTACCTGCCGAGTTGGGGTACTTGCCAGCCCCTAGCATGGACGGCAATTGACCAGATGACACGAGTAGAAGTATTTGATGTTAGCAGAGTGATGACGAGGGCCACACTGCCGCGCTAGAGGGGGCAACACGAGCTCTAGGGATGCGGAGACCAAGCATACGCCGGAGGAAGGTCGTACGGGCGCCTCCCACTGGCTTTGTCGCCGCCGTTCACAGCTGACTTTCTCGGGATGTAAAGTATGTTTTGGAGAAACCCGACACATTGCGGCCCCAGGCCGGTAGTCAGAACCACCGCGGTACGGCGCTTTTCGACTTCTGGCCGGCGCGAGAGGCCCAACCCCAAATAACTCCCAATAAAATATTCGCGAAGAGGAAGAAACCTAGTTCAATAACAGATAAAACATTGCCCGGTCGAAATTATCCAAGTTTGGCACAAACGTTGAAACCGCACCGCGAAGACGAGACAGTCTTGAAACATGGGCGAGACGAACACACTTGCCTCTTTCGCTCCAGTGAGCCTCGACAGGATGCAAAGTGCTGAAGTGAAACATTTTAACCACCCATCCGGGCCAGTGGATGGAAGGCGATCCAAGCGCGGATGCCGAAAGATCGTGTGGACGAGGGCTTTGAGGTCATGAGAGGCTCGCCCAAGCTGTGTCAATTATTCGGGCCTGCAGAAAATAACAGACAAAATTGCAGACTTAAATACTCGACGGGCGTCGGCGTCGCCGCGTGGGCGGCAAGGGTACCTAGTTCAACCTGCACTCTGTGGGTCGCAGGTACTAACAGGGCGCCCGACCAGTTGTCTCGTGTACCGTCTTGCTCACTACGCCCCAATGCGGGCATGTTGCTGCCACATTTTACACACTAAAAATGTAGATGTTCTCGTACACAGCAGTCTAGCAATGAAGGTCGTTGTTCCCCCTGAGAGGTTACCATACCATGCCATCGCGCTCCCGACCGTTGAATGAACGCTGTCGTTGTCGTTCAAGGCTCTGAGTGATCCGGGCGTAGCTCTTTGTTCATCGCCTTGTTCGTCAACCCTCGCGAACAAAAGGTGGCCGCCACGCATGCTGGGATCAGGGCGCGGCAGCGGACCGTATCTTACTGGTGACGACGACCCGGGACGCGGAAGTAGGCACCGCCAGGCACCACCATTCTCTGTCTCCTTTGCTGGGGCGAGAGATTTGGAGGACAAACCTCCGTCCCCGTCACCACTACCGCCGGCGCCGCTCGGTACCCCCGTCTCTGCCCTTCTGGTGGCCCCCAGAGAGGTTCTGACGCCATTGTCGATGCTGTTGATCGTTGCCGCGGATGTTGGAATCCACCAGATTGTCGGTCGGCTTGGGTGGTCGTTTCCTTCGAACGTCGCTGGCATGGTGGGGCTGTTTGCAGGTGTGAAGCTTTTGGACGCTAGGAGGGGGGGGCGTAGAGAGACGAAAATAGTGGAGTGAGGATATACCACGGGTTTCAAGACACCGCCGGGTAAAACGGGTGAAACTGCAGGATATCAGCTCGAACCGCTGGGTATCACACGCACCCTTGTCGGACAAACTGGATGCGACGGTCATAGGCAGATATGACCCGTAAAGCTGATTGAAGGGACTTTTTCTTTGTTTGAGAGTCTATCGTTCCTGTTAAGGACCGGTCCTGTCTGTTAGGATGATACTCTACAGGTTGCTCTTGATGGGACCATTTTGTCGCAACAGCAGTACTATACTCTAGGCATCATGTTCGACTGACATCAAACACTCCAACAGAAGGGACGCCTGTTCCTTTTGACCCTAACTCGGCTCATTGCATCCAACTACTGTGGTCGAAGTTTTTTGCAAAATGCGCTGTTGTCTAGACATGCCTCTTCAATGCCGTTTCGACCCAGGGCTTGTTGGTCTCGACCGCATAGCTCCTTCGTACGCCGAGAGGGTGGTTCGCGTGCTAGAACCAGGATCTGCGGAGTTCTCGAGATGTCTACCCGTGGTCTTGGTACCTTCTCTCGTCCGGTGGATTCATTTCTCGCTGGCGGCGAGCTTAACGGGGTCATCAGCGTCTCTGCCCGAAGCGGTGGTGACGGCAGCAAAGGCTGCGGCGAGACATGCGGCTGGGCGGGTTTCGAAAGACTACGCATTTTCACGATTTCCCGCGGGGGGGAGGCCTAGCGGGTCGAGGCTCCGAGCGGTCGCGAATGTCGCGAAGGTTTTGTTGACAGACGGTGGGAGCTAGCTTGCGCACTATAGCTCCACCGCTGTCGTGGTTTCCGTCCTCTCCTGGCTATCGTCACCATCGTTGCCTGCATCAAATTCTACTTCTATTACCCTTGACGCTGCTGCTACTCCTGCGGTGTCGTCTACGTTGCCCACGGAAAGCGTGAGACGACGAACGTCAGGAGGTTTATTCGGCGCTCGGTTCGTTAGATGGCTGGGCATTGGGACGGTGGTGTCGGGAGCGGCATCAGGTACAATCTTTGAGCTGATCTTCCCGTGGGTGCCATTCTCGTCAGAGTCGTTTTCGATGTTCGGAGCTTTAATCATCGTTAGCCTCATTCCTGCCTTTGTCGGCGTACAGGCGTCCATGGGTCTGGCGACGCTATTCGGTTATTCGGCAGGGCATGTCGCTGTCTCGCCCGGCGACGCGGTTGGTTCTCATCGTTTTGCTTGGAAGGCTGCGCTGCTTCCACTGGTGACGAGCATGGCGGCTACCGCCATCACAGGCGCCAGCGTAGCTGCACCGTTAGGCATCGACATTCGCGATATGCGTGATTCGTAACGACTTGGACGACCTGCCCATTGTCTCCTCCACCTGCTGTACACCATGCTTCGCCTTTCCAAAGGATGCGTGGGTTCATTTTGGGTAACGCGAGACCGGTGCTGGGAGGTTCCATATTCTGTGCTGCGACGTCGCTCGTCGGTATCTCCCTTATGTCCAGGTAGTCACCGTATCGCTAGTTTATGTGGTAAATACGCTTATCCATGGGCTGAAACCCTCAGCAATTATGCCACACGACAATAACGTTATGAAAGTTTCGCTGAGGTTTGAAGGATGCACTCGTATAGTAAAAGTGTATACCCAGGGATCGTGTATCGCGGGGGGTTGATCGGTTGTGGATGTTTAAGGGGGTTCCCGAGACATGATGGCATAGGTATGGGTCGATGGATTCTATGGTGTGGAATTCGGAGCTTGGGTTTCTCCACATACGTATGTGCACACATTTGGTGTCTTTGTTTCCATTCTTTTTTCTGTCTGTCACCAGCATTATCATCCACACCACGTTGATGCCATGATTGCTAACAACGATAAGTTTATACATGTACGTTGTGTCACGGCCCCATATCCTGAACGAACGCTTCCATCCAGGCTTTCCCAGAGCTCCCCCAGTTTGTCCGATCGGAGCATCAACATCCATCTATTTCTGTGTAGTGGTCGCTTCACGCCCGCCAGCGAACCCGTTTCAGGTACGTCGAGTCTACCACTCCTCACTCCTTACCGACACGAGGGAATTTTGTTGTGCGCACGGCCGACGTAATGCGATTTCAGGCTACTGGGTGTTCCCAAGGCTTTCCAGGTGGCATTTCGGGCCGAGGCACCACCGTCACGGGGCTCCGAGATTCGGAAGGCCCTGCGCGTTTTGTTCACAGGGCTCGACAGGGAAAAACGCCTTACCGTGGCGTCTGCGCTTGGCGTCTACAAGATTCCGGCGATCGCTAGCGTGCTGGTCTTGACAGGAGTACTCGGCACTTGCTTCGTGAGTTAGTTCGACGCCTCACCAACTGGACTAGTTTCAGGAACCACTGGGAAGGGCGAAGTCGAAACTGATGGACAAAGAGTTCGTTGGGGTACATATAATCGAAGTGATGTTTTGGCTGTTGATCAGATGCGGAGGTTAGCGGAGGAAGTAGAGCTTGATTGGTTGTTGAATGAAATTGAGCACGAAACATGTCACACCTAGAGTCGTGGCAGACGCGACCGACACTCCGGCATGAGGTTAAATAGCTGGACAGTTGTTTCACGTGGCTGCTGTCCTTCCCCTCTATAGGAACGGGACTTTGGTCGGGTGAAGGGGTTCACACACGAAATACGAGGAAATCCGGATGATGGTGTATGCTGTAAAGGCAGAAATGTTCGGAATCACGAGCTGGTCTTTCACACAAGGAGTGGTTAGGGCTGAAAGAGTCAGCGCTGCCTCTGCAGGTCAACAAGCCATGTTACACGATACATCTCTCGAGTAGGATTACCCGTACTTCCCCCCATCCCCGATGATCATACTGTGCCCCCCCGCCCTCCTCCGTCTGATCAGGGCAAAGGACGAGGACCCGGTGGTCAGAGCGCTAATTCAAGGAGGCACCTCGAGCGTGTTTGGCATAGAAGCGACATCAGAGTCATGGGAAGTACACCGAAAGATACCTGCCAACTCCTTCGCCGGAGTCTCCCCGTCCGCTCGCGATGTCTCAACCGTCGCGATGATTCTCACCGGCGCTGCTGGTACGGTATTGGTAAACATCCCGTGGGTTCGGTCGGCCTTGCTGTCGATAGCGTTGGGTTCGACGGTGGGGGCGGCGGAGGTGCCCCTATCTCCATGACTGGGCTAAGAAAGGGCAGGGATATGCTTACCTTCGTTCCAGGCGTGTTTTGGTGATTGGAATGTGGTGTACGTTGGACGATGTTCACGTTGAAAGTCTCGGCTGAGATCTTCGGACTCTGACGTTGTTGACCAACCGTTGGCGTCCGTTCTGAGGAAACATTCATACAGAGAGCAGTCGAGGTTGACCGGTCGTCCCGGTTTCACGTTCACATCGAATTGGTGCACGTGGTGTACTGTTTTTCTTATGCGACTGCTGTGTCGGGGATACGATAAAGTTGCACCTGCCCTATGTGCATGGATGTGCGACGCTCTCTTCAGACCTTTCCCAGGGCAAAGCATGTGGTTTGAACTTGCAACTTGTGGTGCTCCGTGATGAACACGGGATGAACAAAAGGTTTTTTGCTGGGCACCTATCGGCAAAAAAATGCGTTTTCACCTTTGACCAGCTGGTAGACTAGTGCTTTTACCACAACAACACCAGGTCAACACGATTGCCTCTCACAGCAAGTAGTTGTTTAAGTTTGTAGCTTGATCTTTCTCACCATTCCGACAACTACCCTGCTTTCAGAAGCACAAAGGATCTCACGATGCATCATATCGACGCAACCCACACACCAGATTTTGCATTTGCGGGCGCATTGGCGCATAAAAAATATGCTGTGACATAGAGACTACCCTAATGGAGGTCTTGTCAGGGAGAGGTGAATGTCACTTTGGCCAGAACCGGCGGAAAGAGTTGTTACAAGCGACAGGAGTCGCTCAAATCGCTCCACTGCTGTCGGATGTGTAGACTACAGTGGACTAGACATGCGAATAGCCCATCTCCTCCCAACATACCGCGACCGAAGGGCCCACATGTCTTGCAATGAGATACGGGAGCATTCTTTCAAATCCAGAAGGAAGCGTGGTGACCTGGCAACACTCACGTCGTTCGATATTCCCCATGAAGGTCGAAAGGTTTGCTCCAGCCACCACGCCCCTTTTTGATAGGTGAACCAGGTAGATCAAAGCTTGTGTGTATGTGGAGAAAGGTAGCTCGGCCAGTGAGGGCCGAGATGGGAAAACATTGAATTAGAGGGCAGTGGAAACCGGAGTAGCACCACCACCCGAGAGGAGAGCATCACCACATCCATCCATCCGTCACGCAATTCAGATCACAACCGTATCTCCGAGGACACCAAGTAGAAACTCCCCTGTTCTCCCGCAATCTACCAACAACAATCTCCTTACATCAACATTGCCCCATATTTCGCTCCTAACACCACATCGATTGTCGGCCCGATAGTATTGATTGGCGTAACCCACGGACAGTTTATGCAACACTAACGTATGGCCAAAACATCCAGAAACATACGTAAGTATGGGCCACGCAACCCTGGATGTCGGTTGTCTACAGCTACAAGTACCAAAGAGGGCAAACAATGTTATTAAAACTAAATACTTGCACGAGTTCTTAAATACCTTAAATATTGAAATTGTGGCACTTCGTACTCCTTCACCAATAGGTAAAGACAAAATGAACCCAAGCTCATGCACGGTGGTCGGTACTGTGACAACACTCGCGTTCATACTATACTCACTGAAAAGACTCCATCACATTCCGTTCGACTGTGGGTATATCTCGAATGGGTAGTCTTTCTTTGTGTGTATTCATCATTCCTTAATACTATACAATCTGTCGTCCCTGCACTCCTTTCATACCCCGTCGCCACGGTTTCAACAGGATCTCAGGCGTCACCGACTTAAAATCATCAGCCCAAACAACAACCAAGGCCACCGCGCTCGGAGCTCTTCCGATGCAACGAGCGTAGCTCCCTCCTCCGGCACAATCTCGATACATATGTGCAATGCTATCGCCATCTATCTCCGTTCCTTCGTGAAAAAGAGGTCGCGAGTGGCACGGGCTCCCAGCTGGTCGGCGTGCTTGTCGAAACGTGCATCACGAGCCCCTTCACAGGAAGGGTGTTGAGACCTGTGTGTTTAGGTGGCGAAAGTAGGCACGTCAATCGAAGAGGATTGAATCGGAGAGTGTTTGCAGATAGATAATTCGCGGGGCGTTTTCCAAAGTACATTGCGCTTGCGGAAGTAGACCACACTAGAGTGCAACACAGATATTTGTGTATACCAAGCACGCGCGCAACCTTCGGCGAGGGAAAGGGAAGCATAACCGTCGGCGCGATCAGAACGTACCTTGTGGGCTGGGGCTACCGAAGTGATGGCGTCGCAACTTCAACATCGAGGCGGACAATGAGCCTTTGAGCTTGCTTTCATGCCCTAACACCTCACAACACCGCAATTTGAGGCGGTACGACTTCGCTTCAATCTTGAGACCAAATACATCCACCAAACCCGAAACAATTCCAAACTTCACCGGCATGGTACGTTCCGGATAACTTTGCGAAAGACTCAAACAAAACCACACCTTTCCGGCTAATTCGTCACAGCTCCCCGTGCGGCTGCCACAGTTCCTAGTCCCCTCTCCTCCGATCGACAACCCCTCCGTCGAAACGTCGTTCCCAATCCCAGCCGTGCCCTCGGCCGTCGACACCGACGTGGGTACAATGTCCTCGATAACCGACTCTCCCGGGCCCCTTCTCCTCCTCCTCGATGAGCTGGCACCATCGATGCCGTACACGCCAGCAGCGCCAAACCCCGCCTCTCCATCGCACGACGACGAGTCGCAAGCAGGAATACGGTCACCCTCCGCTCCCTCCTCCCCGACAAGGGCCCTGCGTCCGCATCCGCCATCACCGGCTGTCGGAAGCGCGTCCCGCCCACCCAGACCACCACTTGCTGCAGGCTTGCCGAAAGCACCGCCGTCAGCGACCCTGAGACGGAAACGCATGCTCGGACGGCCGGCCGTGGCCGTGCCTACCCCCGCTGCCGCAGCTGCTGCTCTAGCAGTCCTGTTCTTCCTCCGGCCCTTGTCGGACACCATATCGCGAATGGCCCGCACTCCCTTCCGGTCGAGGTGTTCGGTGATGGTCGCCTCGAACACATCTTCCCCCAAGGCCTTGCGGCACCTGCTTGTTCGTGTCACGTGTTTCGGACACGCCACGGGCGAAATTAAACAAGGGTGATGTAAGTTACGATCGCAAAAAGAATGTGATTGAACAACAAACAATGCAAGTACTTGTGGTGTTCAGGCGGCTTTGTTCTAGCGAAGTCCACCCATGCAGATGTTAGAGCAGTTTCTACAATGCAGGACGTGCAGGTCGCTTGAACAAGACATCAAACGTTTGCCGAGAGGAACGTTCGTACCTCTGTTCTAGATCTTGCCTTGATCATTTGGTAATTGACCGCGTGTTGGTTTCGAAGAAAGGACGACAATCCTACCGCCTCTTGTACAATCTTCGCGCTTCTGCCATACACTTCAAACACCCCCCTGCTTCTCGTGTCCGTTTTCGTTGCGATGTGTGTGGCCACCACAAGTCTCCTGTTGTAGAGATCGGCTTCTCGGGTTTCTGTTCCACACGTAAACCTTATCAACTCAATCGGTTCTCTTCGTTTCCCACCAAGGGCGCTCCTTCTCCCTTACAGAAACTACACTCCCAAACCCATGTGTGAGCTCTACTCTCGAGCGCCTTATCTCGTGGGTCTGCCTTCGCATCCTCTTGCTCCTCCCCTCTGTTTTCCGATGTATAGTTACCTCCTTTCTGGCAAGATAAGCTTCCCTAGATGAAGCTCGGCTGCAGCTTCGCTAACACAGTCTATCGGGTCACCAAGACGGGTTTCGATTCATTTCCAATGCCCTCAAGTGCCGCGCCTTTGTCTCAGTGCTATTACAGCATTTCCCCTCGTTTCTTTTGTTTTTCTTCACGTCTTCTTTGGACCCTCTCGGATTTTCAGTCGGCAATACACTTGTTGGAAAATCTCCATTCCCAGAAGAACGATCGAAGAGCGAGGGCGGGGGCGGGGAGAAACGCGACAGAAACTTACAAATCACGGCCTTTAACCATACTCGGACAACGGAACATACACGGGATGCTGATCTCACATCTCCACCCCTCTCCAGGCAGCCTCCTTGCCATCGGAGTCCCTGCTCGAGGCCCCCTTGGCCAGTGCCGCCAAAACGGACTTCACGTCCACACCATCCACCAGACCGCGCCCCGCCACGCTGCCCTCTAGCAGCCGCGACAAGCACTCGGCCGTGCACATCAGCCCTCGGCAGGCCACCTTGGGGTGTCTGTCGAGTGCTAGCGGGAGGACCGCGCTGAGCAGAGGCTCCGGGTCGGCGTTGGCCAGGGCAGCCTCCATGGCCTGGTCGTGGGATATGGAATGATACGTGGAAAACGAGAGGGAACCAAATACGTTAACGGTGCACATCTGGCGAAAGTCGACGTGAGCATACCGTCGTTCGGCGTTGCTCTGTTGCAGCGCAGCTATATCATCTGGTACGGACGTGAGGAACCACGACTGCAGTGATGCATACTCCATGCGAGATTGAAGGTCTCAGGGCACAATTCCAGCGACGCAAGGCCAAGTGCAGCTGCAACAACGACAGCGTAGCCGTTGAAGCAACGTACGTCTGCCCCGTGCCTACCCCGTCCGCACCTTCCTCGCCTCCTCCCCGCAGAACTTAGAGGAAGACTTGTGGCAGGACAAGGTAGATCTGACCAGCGTTCCCATCTGGTCGGCGGTCATCTCCTTCCCCACCACGCAGCTGGGAAGAGGGTTTCGTCGTCGATGGAAACGGGGGTGGCGACGGCAGCAGCGGCGGGGAAAGCGGTGACGACCGAAGTCAATACGTTGATGCGAAATCAAGGCAGCAGACAAACACCGGAAATTGCGAGTAGGTGGCCGTTGTCTGATCATGAGATCACAGAACCTACTCCGTAGATGCCAGCCGGACACACATCCCAACGCCTTCAATTCAACATCACACGCCAACACGACGACATCCAACACGCACCTGAACATCTCGCCCAAGCACCGCAAGCCGTTCGTCTGTACCACCGACCGCCTGTTGGACACAGCGTCCGCCACGAGAGACACCAGCCGTCCGATCAAGCCCGGACCTCCATCCTCTCCCCCGAACATGTCGCGATGGTGCAGCACAAGCGTCCTCGCGGAGCTCACGGCGGCGAACAAGCTCGCCCAGTCGGTCACACCGGAATGTGTGCGCACGGCCTGACGAGGGTGGAGGTATCATGAGCCCGCGTCGTTTGCATGGTGTGAAAGGCAACGTAGAGGATGTTTGCGAATAAGGTTGACGTACACGGGGGTAAGCCTATTTTCGTCTGTAGTTCAGTATTCTGAAGAACGAGGAGATCGAGTCGATTGCAACCCGTCAAGTATGATATGATGTCCTTTCGACGGTAGGGTCGTCTGGTTGCAACACCCGGCGGATTCAGCACATGCTTTCAACCACCCACCCCGCCCTGCAAAGAAAAGCGATGGGGCCTTCACGTGTGGTTGTACATCCTCAAAGTACGTCCCCAAACGGAGATCGAATAGGAGGTCACGCTGTTGCAGGGTCGCGGCATTCAAAGCAAGAAACGGACCAACGCCCCAACCCACAATTGGCTCGGTATGGCGCAACCTCCAACATGGAACACGTACACCGTAAGCGAGAGTGGAGTTGCTGTCATACCGATCCTACCAGCCCAACAGTCGGAAACGAGGTCACTGACAGCCGGGCGGCGGTACCATCACTCGTTCATGCACACCTCGAGGTCTTTCGAGACGTCGACCGATGCCGGCACCTCGCTGCTCGTCAACGCCACCACGTCGAAGATCTCGCCCTGGGGGGCTCCGGCCATCTGCCTCTCTTCCGAGGACACCTGGGCAAACGGGCATTGGTCGAGGGGGGCAGAGCGTTCGTATGATAGGTGGGTGCAACGAATGCGAACGACAGGCACCGGTTTGGGAAACTAACACCGATCGTGTTGACCTTTGTCATGGGGGTGGGGATA